GGAAAGAAAAGGAATGGACAAAATTTTGCTTGTCCAAGAAAAAATCTTTTTCTTGATTATGAAATAACGAGGCACTTTTTTACTGTGAGAGTAGCTGTGTGCTGGCACAGGTTGCCCAGGGAGGTTGTGGAATCTCCATCCTTGGAGAGACTCAGAAGCTGTCTGGACATAGTTCTGGGCAGCCAGCTCTAGATGACCCTGCTTGAGCAGGGGATTGGACAAGATGACCTCCAGAGGAGTCTTCCAACCTCAACCAATCTGTGTGATTCTTTGATTCTGTGAATCCAGGCTAAAGACTCCTGGTCTAACAGAGAAACAGTGTTTACCTGAACAGCTGTATCTTTTTTTAATGTTTCAAGTGATCTGGAAAAGTTCAACATCATGTATATGCTAGTAAGAATGTAAATACTTACATCAATTCAAGGTAATAACAACAATAATAGAGTAATAAATAATTGATAACTTCACTGAGTTATCCTGTTTGTGCTTAAGTGCTATTTATTCATTCTGTCCATGTTGAAAGCCTCAGTAAATCTATGGGCAGAATTGTGCTCTAGTTGTAAAACATCTTTTTGTCTTTTAACATTATTTGTAAGTGAAAAGCAGAACTTGATTATAATGCAGGAATGGAATTCTACTGAAAGTTTTCATGGACTTAAATTTTCATGTCGTTCAACCCATTTTTATAGGGAATTTTCACGTGAACAACTCTTCTTTTGTAGCTATTGAACTATCACTGAAAGAGCAAAGGCAACAGCAAACAACGCTTTCCAGTTTGTATCCGAGCACCTCAAGCCTTTTAACAAATCATAAACATGAGGGCCGAAAGGTTCGTGCAATCTATGATTTTGAGGCTGCTGAAGACAATGAACTAACTTTTAAAGCTGGAGAACTTATAACTATCCTTGATGACAGGTAATTTATGTAGAATGCCTACTATAAGTATATTAGAATGTAAAAAACAAACAGGAATAATCATATCTTCTATGTAAAAACATACATTGGAATACAATTGCAATAGAATAGATTTACAAATTAAATATTTTATTTAGTTATCTCCTAGATTTTTTACATACCAATGTCATTACATCAAGATTCTTGTATAAAGATTTCTGTGTATATACAAATTATATTTATGTACAAGTAATATAAATGCCTTGTACAGTGCAATTCTTAGGAAAATTCCATGTGAGTATGGTGGTTTTTTTTTAATGTATGGGGATTTTAATTACTTTTTTTATCTTTAGTGATCCAAATTGGTGGAAAGGTGAAACTCATCAGGGTGTAGGATTGTTTCCATCTAATTTTGTAACAGCTGATCTTTCTGCTGAGCCAGAAATGAGTAAGTAACATTCTATTTATGTATATAAATTAAGCCTTGCCATGGCCCAAGGAATATTTCTGTAGTGATTTACTTTTTCTATTTCCTTTCCCTTATGATAGAGTTCAGTTGCAAGTTAATGTGATACTCAAAGTAAAACTGAGGAGCCCTTGCTGTGCTCTCACAAACAACAGTGATATCTTTATGTGTCAGACCAAGGTTGCCCAAGCTGGCATCTGCTGAAAAATATGGTGCTGTTTGCTGCTGGCTTTGTCAGTAGCTTCCTTGAGGCTCATTTAACAAGTCCATTGACACCTGGATAAATGTAGGCAACAGCAGTTTTCCTCCAAATTTCCTTTATACCCGATTGCAATGTTACCTGTCTGATCAAGGGAAAAATGAAGGCCAGATAGAAGTTGGAAACAGATTACCATGGTTCAAACAATTCAAGAAACGTACATACTGTAGGTATTTATGTATGCATAATGGAAGGAGGTTATTTTCTGCATACTGATTATCTTGTATCTGTTTATATCAGTCTAACCTACTCTAAATAGTTAATAAAAATATTAAATATTAGACAAGGTTTTAAGATTCTAGAACTTATTTCTGTATCTGATGGGTTTACAAGATTAATCTCCAGTGGTCTCAATGTGAGTGTGCCGAAGGTATGAGCAGGTCAGCAGAATTGTGTGCTGTAGGAGTCATCTGTTCTATGTTAAGACTAACTGATAAGAGTACTATGATAAGGGTAGTATTTGGCAGCTGCTTTTTTTTTGTGACCTCTACTACAGGGGAGTGAGATGCTTTTGCAGGTTCTATTTGATGGAGAAGGAATAGGAAAATTTGATAACTTTTGATTCTGTACTTTGCTCTGGAGAAAAGAAAGCTCCAGTTTGTTACAGATGATTTTACCAGTTTTCTCTTAAACCTGATTCATTAGCCCTATTTCTTCCAATCATCCTTTCTTAGTCTGTCTTCCTGATGACTTACTAATAAGTAAGTTATGTGCAGGGAGACTATGATAAAGACATTTACTTGATAAAACATGTTTCTATTGACCTACTGTGAACTGATGTCTGTTTTTTTATGCAATTTACAGATTTGTTTAAGAAAATTGTTTAAGTCTGTGTAGATGTTTTTGGCCTTCAAATGTCAACAAAATACTAATTTTTAAAATTTTCACAGTAGATGTTTCAAATGCAAAGAACTTAGGCAACATGCTAGCTGTATAATATTTATGTCATTCTTTTGTTTATTTTTATTGTATAAAATAAAATCTGCCTGTTTATCTTACAGTGAAAGCTGAGAAGAAAACAGTGCAGTTCAGTGATGAAGTTCAAGTAGAGACAATAGAACCTGAGCCTGAGCCAGTTTATATTGATGAAGTAAGCATGATAAAAGTACTGATTTTCAACTGCTGGTACATTTAAATATGTGATGTTTAACCCTTTCATCTTGTACTTCAAAACCATTTTGAGATATCAGGAAAACATAATCAAAAAAGAATGGGAAGGGAAAGCTGATTTAATTAAAAAAAATAAATCTTCAGTATTTTAATTTGTTTATGTGTCTTGGAGTTCTTAGGAATTTCTGAACCTGAATTTGGAAACTGCATTCCATTTAAGGCCCTACTCCAGCTGTTCACCTCCAAACTAGAAGCTCGGTGTGGAGTGACACATTTGCTTTCAAGTTTTGCTTTAAGTACTTCAGGATACCTCAGAGATACCCACCTTGAATGCTGTCTTACATTTATTTCCAGTAAAACCACCAGTCTTCCCCCTGTCTGAAACATCTCTTTCCTTCTCTGAAAACCATGAGCTTTTTGTAGCTCATGGTAGTAGTAGTAAGTAGTAGTAAGAAAGATTTGCACAATCTCACTGCAGTGATTCTGCAAGGTTCCCAGGAACTCTCAGCCCAGGATGTTTTTCCCTGGCCTTTTTTTCCCTCCTCTCCCCCTCCCTCGCTTCCCAGGCAGCTTAGGGAAAAATTCTAAAGAGAACAATTCTTTCTCTCTCATGACCTTCCATTTCTTTTTCAACTAGGGTTCTGTCATTCTTTTTTGAAAAGAAAAATCAGTTACTGCCCTCCTAAAGTCTTATTTAACTCCTGCCTCAAATACTCTTCCTCCCAAGAGATACTAATCTGTAATGTGCTGAAATAGCCTATCTCAGGCCTGCCTTGAGGTGCCTTCCAGATTTTGTCTGCTGTGATTCCATGTTGGTTTATGTTTTAGTGTCTTGTCTTGGTTTATTTTTAAAATTGCCATAGTATAATTTTTAAGGAAGTTGTTCGTTTGGCTTCTTCCTCCCTTTCCTGGAGTTAAGGAGAAAAAACCCATGGTTTTAGTTTCCACTTTGATACAACCTATTTTACTTTGACCTGTTAAAGGCTACGTATTTGATAGCACTCAGTTAAAAAGCGATTTTTAATCATTTACGTGTAATGTTTGGTTAAGCAATATAGTTCACTTCAATACATGCTTTTCAAAGAGTTTATGCCTGTTTATTTTTCTACCCTTTGGTATTTTTATAAATGTGTTTCACTTAAACTGGTTAATCAAGAATGACTTATTCTGAAGCAACCCCTCCAAGCATAATCTTAAAAAAACCCCTTTCATACATATTAGTAATGATAGGCTTCATACACTTACAAAATGCAGGATAGTTTTTCAGCGAATTTAGTTCTACCCATTTCTTTTTAAAGTACTCTATGTATTGTCAAATCATTTCCACTAGTCCCACTAGGTGGTGGTATTGCACATGTAATAACAAGAATGGAAAAATGGAAACCACTCAGAAAATACTGTTTAGAAGGACTTTTAGGAATAAAACTGTATTCTGCATGTTCTACTTGTTGCTACTAATAGTTTTTATCATTTGGTTTTTCCTTGTTCAAGCATCTTCATTGCTGTAGAGGAGCATGTATGATTTGTATTTTCTTAGTCTAGATGATTTCCAAGTCCCAAGAGATCCAAATGGTTGTTGTAAATAGCTGCTTTAATTTACTATCCTGAAAGTGTTAATTCTCCCCCTCACATGTCCTTTGTGTTCTAGGACAAAATGGACCAACTCTTGCAGATGTTACAAAGTGCGGATCCATCTGATGACCAGCCAGACCTCCCAGAATTGCTTCATCTTGAGGGTAAGAAAAGATCTTTTTTTGTTGTTGTTGTTGTTTCCCTCTCTAGTAATTACCTATATCAAAAGAAACTGAAACTAAGCGGAAATTACTTCAGCTTCATGTGCACACCACAAGCATACCTGAGGAAAGTGCTTGAGCCATAATTATCTTCTCACTTCCTGTTTCCCGTCTAAGACATCAAAGTGCAAAATTTTAACTTAAAACAAATCCACTCCTCTCTCAAGAAAACTATATTCTATATTATTTTTCTTTTCAAGACACAGGAATATTTAATTCAATCTCAATCTTATTCATACTTTTATTTTTTTTCCCCCATAGAGTAGTGTCACCATTTAAGACTGGGCTGGCAGTTAAAGCAGATGGCAGCTGCTCTCTATTAACCTCTTCCTTCCCCAGAAGGGGAATGAGAGGAGAAAAGGGGGAGAGACTTGTGGGTTGGAAAATTAAAACAACAAAAATGAAAAAGAATATACTAATATTAATACTGCTAGTAATAGAAATAAAAATATACAAACCCAATATTGAGTTTCCCAGTGATGATCATGGAATTGGGAGCTGTGGTAGCTTGTATCACTGATGTGGCAGGGTTGGGACCTGGATGTCCTGGATTGGACTCAGACTCAGTGACTCAATCACTCCTGGATTCAGGAATACACAGATTGGGATCAGAGGCAGGAGAATTAAGAGAGTCCCACAACAATGCCGGCCATGAAAGAAGAAAGGCTGACCCCTGTGATCCCATAGCCTTATACTGAGTATCCATGTGTATGGGATGGAATACCTCATTGGTCAGTTTTTGGTCACCTATTCTGTCCACACTTTTCCACAGGTGCGACCTTTTTACACCTTTTCACTTGTGGACCCTAACAGAGTCAGCAGTGACCTTGGTTCCCACAGGAATAAACATAAACCTGGACCTTTCTGCATACCAATCCCCCCGTTACCTTCATAACAACTATAAACATCAAGCATTTTCAATTCTGAAAGCAGACACTGTCTGAAAAACCTGTAGCTAACTCCAGAAAGTGCAGTTACTCAGAAGAAACTTAACTGAAGGAAAATCTACTGAACAGAGAAATAGTCCTCTCTTAGCCAAATCAGGACAAGTAGCACAGCATGAGTTACAAAGAAACATAAGGAAGATTCCATGAGAGTAAGCAGAAGTACTGCAGAGGTTTAGAGTAGACCTACGGGTGTCCCACATACTTTTCACTTGCATGCGTATTTCTATAGGACTTTCATATTAATGAATACCTTATAGAGTACTACAAATTAGATTAGTCTTTTAGACTCAAATTATTCAGACTACCTGTTCAGAGGCATTATGGACCATTCTACCTGAGTTGATAGATGCACCAAAATTTTTGGAAGGGAACTTAGGTGAAGGAAATAAAGAAACTTACTGATTATGAGACAGAACATTGGCTTAAATTGACGCTTCAGATAGGACCAGACTTTGTTAAGAAAATGGCAGATTCCAGATCTAGCAGGAAAAATTGCATAAGCTTGTGAGCTTTTGGATATCCCGACTTTCCACACTCATCTGATTCATCATACCTATAAATGAAACCTGTTTTAGGAACTGCACATCACTGACATGTCTGCACATATTCTAGTTCCACTAAAGCTAAAGGAGGGGTAGAAAGAAACATGAATGGTTTCATTCTTTCAAGTAACAAATATAGCTATAGAGGCTGATATCTAAGAAGCAGATTGGGTATATCTGGTCCAGGACAGAGGCAAAGAAATTAGAGATATGCTTGTCAGCCAACCTCCAGATATGTCTTACATTAGGATCTCCTTTCAAAATACATTGCGAGATCATTAGAACGATGCTGATTTTTATATTAAACTGTGGGACTGCTTCTAGAATCCGAAAGCTATAGTGTAGTCAGAGGATCACTCCCCAGCTACCTGCAACAATGCTTACTAGTCATATGGCTACATATAGTTCTACAATGCCATATTCAAGACTGTACTTGCTCTGCACTCAAGTAGGTCTTGGGTAGCTACTATTTTTGGCATAGGTTCTGGGAATTTTCTTATAGACATGTGTTGGATCTTGGGTTCCTACCAGTGGTGGCAGGTGCTGGTCAACGTTTAACAAAAAATCCACTTCATTTTCTCCTGCCATTCAGAAGTCCAGTCACAAATGCCTTTAAATTGGAGAGCTCATCCCAACACTTTCAGGAGCCTAGGGTTAGTGGTTGGCAGCAGAGCAGTCATCATGTTTGCGTACAGACATTTAAGCAATCCTTGTCATGCCTTTTACCACACTTTGTGTTATTCATGAAAATAGGCAGAACTTACACTGGGTTTTACATCTTTTCCCGCCATTTCTGCCAATGTATTACTGATCCCAAGTTCAAAGAAGCAGATGGGTGCCTTTCGTACAACTCCTCATTCACCTAGAGTTGCCTTCGAGGAACACATCAGCGATGCCTGTTCACCCATCATGGCCCAGAGGCTTTCAGGACCTTCTGCATTTCTAATTAGGGAAAACTGAGAGTGAAGACAGTGTTCCAGAGCTGCTTATAATGCATTTAGGTCATTGATGCCTCAATCTTTTTTTTCTCATCTCTTGGTTTGAATGTTGAGTGGCTTTTGGGATTAAACACATCTCTTGATTAGTAAATAGTTCATTGCTTGGATAAGTGGGCACATTTTGCATTCTGGAGTAGGGTTAGACTGTGGTATTCCCTTTCAGCTTCCTGTGTGTTTATTTTACATTTGACAAACTCCGTCTTTGTGTTAATTAACTGTGGTTTGCTTGGCAGTTGCCTGAGCCCCATGTCCTTGTGCTGAAAGTTGGGGGGGAGGTGGTGCATTTTTGTTTTAATACATTTCCATTCTACTTCTGGCAATTTTTGTTATTGGTTTTTGCACGTGTTAGTGGTTTGAAAAAGGCACATTCCCCCAATTATGATTCTAGTGAGATAGCAGCATGCTATTAGTATCTTTGACTTCCAGATACTTTAAGTCATTGCAACCTGTTTTCCCCTTCATTGTTTTCATAGATAGTCTTTTTGTAGTAATGTTAGTTGAGCACATGATCAAGGTTGCAGAGGCAAATTTTCTTCCTTGAAGAAGAGATTGCTTTTCAGATTTACCTGAACCTTTTTATGCAAAATAGTTTCAGCTTTGTACTTCCTGGATGTTAAATGTGTTTTGTTTCACTGTATATTTTGTTTTCTTTTTAAAATATACTTTTGAAACTGTACCGCTACTGAGAACTTCAGCTGGATCTCATTCTTAAATTGTTCATGACACTACCTCTGTTACTATAACTCTTTTGGCTTGTAGGTTATAGTAATGATAGTAATGATCTAAAAAAAATTTGGACTAGCGTCTACACGTGTCTATCTGATAATTTTTTTAAAGCTGCTTTCTGACTTTACAGTATGGAAATCTTTATTACTCTGATATATTTTGATGTCTTTCTGTTCTAGCAATGTGCCATCAGATGGGACCTCTCATAGATGAAAAGTTGGAAGATATAGACAGGTAAAAAAAGTCATGTGTTTTGACTCAAATTAAGACTCATTCTTAGAAATACCAGTGTTGTTACTTAATGATATCTTAATCATTTCTGTGAATACTGTCAAAGAAAATAGGTATACTTATTAGTAGCTCCTCATCTGGGAGGAGGTCTGAAGGGTTTTTTCCCTAGTCACATAATATTTTATAGTATTGTACCATTTGACATTCTGGCACTTGTCAAGCATCACTTCACAGGCAGTAAGAATATGTTGCTTATCACACCTTATGAAAGTTCCTTGTATTGTCTGTCCTGTACTAAAGTTATCTAAATTGTAGAATAAACTGTAAAATATATTTTCTAGGAAACATTCAGAACTTTCAGAGCTCAATGTTAAGGCAATGGAAGCTCTTTCTTTGTATAACAAATTGATGAATGAAGACCCAATGTATTCCATGTATGCAAAACTACAAAACCAACAGTATTACATGCAGTCATCTGGTGTTTCTGGCTCTCAGGTATGTATGCAACCATTAATAACCATTGATGTTATCAAGTACATACTGAGCTCTGGTTTATTTCTTATAAATTATTAATGATAAGCAGTTTTTCACAAGTTAACTTGTTTTCAAAACTGGCTCAAGTATTTTATTTTTTTTTACAGTATACTTCTCTACATTACTAAAATAAATATATACTGATATATAACGTGTGGTGGAGCATATTGATTGAAAGTAATAATTTACTTCCTATTTCTGCCCTTCTGTTCCCATCCTCCTCGCCCCTTGAGTTGGAAATCTCTTTTTATGACCTTTGTTACCTTAATGCTAGGTTAAAATCATCTTGCTCCTTCAGAGATAGTCTCAAATGAAAGAGCAGTGTTTTCTCCCAACACAGTATGTTTAAAAAAGAAAAAAAAAAAAAAATTCCTTGTTTTCAGCTGCAAGCTTTGGATATTCTCCTTTTGCAGGTTCTAACACTTTTAGTTCTTTTCCGTTTGGTTCTTTTTGATCAAGGAAAAACCCCATCCTGTGCTTTGAGTTGCACATAAAATTAAAAATTACAGCTGCCAGGGCTTTGCGTAGTGGGTGAAAGAAAGTGAAGAACCAAAGAAGTACAATTCCTGTTTAAGATTATGTCCTTCCCGCTCTAAAATCAACCTCTTCTTTTAGTTTCCTTTTTTTGAGATATCAGTAGAGAGCATTTAGCATTTAAATTACTGAAGTTAAAAATCGTAATTCTTTCATGACAGCATTTCCATGTAATTGACTGTTATCTCTGAGTAGGTCTTTTGGCTTATTCATATACTATGGTATTTTTAAAAGGTCTTTTAAACATTTAAATATCCAATTCCATAGTATAATGCACACTTGCTGTATTCTTTTCCTGTTTATAGGAATATATAACATTTCAAACTGTTTTTTCAATAATTTACCTACTTTTTGAGTGAGTAAAAAAAATTCAAGCCAACTTATTAATACCTATGTTGTATTATATAAACCATTGAAGTAGATTTAGTTCTTTTAGCTTCCTACAAGTAAGTACTTTCTTTCAGTGTCTTTTAAGGAAGAGGATGTATGTTTTTGCAGTGTCTTTAAGAGGAACATTGTCTTCTGTTCAAATGTGATAAGCAATCGTGTCATGACCCTATCAAATAATTTTAATGTTTTATAAATGGGCATGTTTCTGGGGATTCTTAGAGGGAAAAACTGGGTTTTGAGATGAAGATGAGGCAGTATAAAGTTCTGAAAAGTTAGGAGGTCTCATGCCTTTACTGCCTTCTAAAATTCTTTTGTGATATTGATAAGCCTTCTATGAATATGTCATCTGAAATTCATGGATCTTAAGACAGAAGAACTGTATATCATAAACTCACATGAACTCAGTTGCGCATAAGACCTGATAATTTCTTCTGGTAATTTGTGTTAAGCCAAATAATTCATCATTGAACAGAAGCATAGTATTTAGAAATTTAGTCTTGATTTAGAATACAGTTGACACATCTACTAGTAAGCTTTTCCTCTAGTCAGTTGTAAAACATGACCTTATTTTCAACTGAAACTGCTTGATCCTTTTGGTACTGGAGCCTGAGGTTAGAAATGTAAATAATGTCCTTTGAAAATCTGGTAGTTTTTTTGCACTGCAACACTTAATAGAAGACAATCAGTTGCTTTCTGTTAAAACATCTGTAATAAAAGGTTTGAAAGACTGTCTTTAGGTTCTGAAGTTAGATGTTAAATACCAAATTTTCTTGTATTTTATTTTTAATATTCCTTTATTTAACTTCCTAGGTTTATCCAGGGCAACCTCAAAGTAACGCATATTTGGTGGCAGGGAGTGCACAGATGGGTCATATTCAAGGCTATAATCTTCCTCCTGAACAGCTCTCTTCTCTCAGCCAAGGCACGGTTACTCCATCTGCCAGCTCAGTACTGCCTGGTCAGCCTGCGCAGACGTCTTATACAAAGTAATTTTAAATATTTTCCTATTCAAGTTTAAATCAATTTAAACATAAAGGACTACAGATAATATTTAAAGGAAGTTCTTTTTTCTTACAGAAGTATAATTTTAAACGCAATGTAATGATACTTCAGTGCAATTATTTCTAGTATGCTTTTCATTGGTGTCATGTATTTGATAAAAATTCCTGACAAAACTTTTCTGTTGTTTTTATAATTCTCTAGTTTTTGATGTTATATATAAGAAATATATAATTTATATATGTATGTATCTGTATTTGTTTTATAAACAAAAAATTAGAGAAAATGTTACAGACATGACTGATGATTTTTTAAATTTTTTTAAGGTAACTTTAAATATACATTTAATGATGAAAATTATCTGCTGCTCTAGCTGGTTTTGCATAATTTCTGAGATAGTGTATATTCTATTGTTCTTTTTTTCAAATATCTTACTGTGGCAGCATCGGGAGAATTCTGCTCATTTTGGGAAAGAAGTGAATGGGCTCTGAATACTTACTAGAGCTTATACAGCTTCCCCATATAAAGGACCTACAAGTGGCTTTCTATTTTGTGTAGATGCCCAAAGATGGTAAACTTTGGCTAAGCTACCTATATTGTGAAAAAGTTTTGAACTGACCTTAGGAAAAGATTAGGGTTTGAGGATTTCTTTTGTTTTATTTTTTCTCTCTGTATAAAGTGGTTTTATTTTATAAAGTTGTGACAAACTCCCATCTTGAGTTATTAAAGTATTTGCCAGTCTCTGTCCCCCAAAGTTACTTATTTGGGGTGGTAAGACATATATTGATAAAGTGAGTTTCTGCATACTTCATCTGATTTGTTTTGCTATTTAAAACAGTTGGTTGGGTTTTGTTTTTTTTCATGAGCAGAATGGAAGATAGATGGGATTCCATGTTGCAAATTAAAATAAAACAAAGTATAGATTCACAGTCTAGTTTTAAATCCATGGGAGGTGTGTTAGGTGTGTTTAAATCTGAGAAGTGTGATTGAGTTTTAATTGGAAAATCCATTGGCTACAGTTTTAAATATGCAAGGGGTCCAGAGTTAGGAGATTTTTGTGTGTACATATAGAACAACTGAAGAAGCAATAAAGTGTTGCTGTTTTGTTGGTAAATTGTTTGATAATTCAACTTTAAGTTTGTTTTTATTTTATTTTATTTTTTAGTGCAATGGTTGGCTCTGTTGCTGGAAATACTTACTCTAACCAGGCGTCAGTGTACAGTCCACCACCTGCTACTGTTGATGTTGCTGCTTATCAGAATGCTGGAACTAATATATCCCAGGTGCCAAACTATAACTTAGCATCTACACCTCTGCCACAGGCAGCAGGCAGTCAGCAAGCACCTCCACAACAGCCACAGCCTCCGCCACCTCAACAACCACAGCATAGTTACTCACAGAAGGCTCTGCTATAGGATCCAGGACTTCTGATTCCTAATCTTTAACCTCTGCTAAAGGCAGTTGGCAGTTCTATGAGTTTCTTCCTTTAATCTCTTAAACTTTGTTTATCTTCAGCTTAGTAAGAATCTATCTTGGTGAACAAGTTCAATTTGCACTGACTTTTTAGGATTTTTTTTTTTTTTTTTTTTTAATTTTGCAGAGGAATGGATATATTTAGGACATTTAATTCCTTTTAAAATGCCTAAAAATTGGTACAAGGTTATTTATGTCTGGTAAAATTGGCTAGTCTGTGAAAACTCATCACACTTGCAAACTGTTGTGGCGTATATGCTATGTACATATAGTGTGTGATTGCAATAGTGACCATTTCGTATAGCTATGGTGATCATGTGAATATATTTAACACAATGTTTAAAAGTAATTTACTTTACTATTTTATTTTAATCATGAACTGACAACCATATTTCATAGTTTTGTCTAGTTTTATGACAGATGTGATGTCTTTTTCCAGTGCAGGAAAAGCAGTAATTCTGCATATCGTGGTTACACTTACAAGCTAAAGTCTATATATGAATTTACAAACTTATCTCAGTCTAGGATTCATTACTTCTTGAATTGAACACAAGTGTATCATGACTATTAGGTGGCTTCTTTACCAAAGTAAACTAGTTAACTGGTAAGCGATTTGAGGGGATAACAGCAAATTATGATTCTGCTTCAGTTGTAATTAATAACTTAAAACTACTATTCAGAGGCTGCTAAACATATCATGGGACCATGCAACAGATCAGGATCTTGCATTTTATCATGAGAAGCATGTAATTTATTTTTTCCAAGTTGTTTTTTACAATGAGAACCAGAACTGTGTTCTACATGTGTTGGTAGAGATTACACCAAAGACAAAGGAATTGAGTTGGAAGAGAAACGATGGAGTTTTAAACTGGAACACACCACATGAATAACACTACTTTATTCAAGTCTTCTCAATTAGAACACGGAGAATTATGGACATTTAAATCACTTCGCTGAACAAACCTTCAGGGGTTTATTTTATCTCTTGTGGCCTTGCTTAGCAATTTGTTCTGTTTACTGTTCTTACACAAGCACTTCTGCCTTAAACATCTGTTTCAATTTCCAGTTGTACCATTTGAGTTTATTAGCCCTTCTACAGTGTGACTAGTTTATGAGGTATCTTATTTTCTTTCACTTTTAGCTTGCTTTGAATTCTCTTCTGCAGCAACATGCATTAGGCTTTTTTAAACCCTTGTATTTCTCAGTAACTTAGCCAGGTGGCTCTTTAAGGCATGATATTTTCTTTCTGTAGCTGAGGTGCTGCAAAAGGAACATGGTAATGGAAGGCAGCATTTTAGATATGCTTAATCAGAGTTTTGCATACAAAGACTGTTGCTACTTTGCATTTGTATTCAATCTATTAATGCATTCTGGTTTCCTCTAACCTTTTCCAGCGCCTCTAATTCCACCTAGAGCAATATTAGATGACTTCAAAATCAGATCTGTGTTTTCAGTCTTGTTAGCATGCGTGTCAGAAATTGTTCGCTTTTGTACGCTATATTTTAGTGTGATGCTTCTGGAACTAAATGTTGGAATTGCACATTATACTATAAGCTGACCTCAGTTATCCCGTACACTCCTGCATCTGTTCACAGTTACCTAACATGCCTTTGTTTCACTGTTTTAATAGACACTAGTATTTTGTCTGTTAATGCTTTCAGATGACTACTTTCTGTAACCTCTAAGTGGGGTGGTTAAAAAACGTGCCCGTAGCTGATGTGTTCCAGTTGAGGATGTTCTAGCCAGCTGGCTGTTTTGATACTAGTATTTTCACTTTTTTTTTCCTCTAGAATTCTTAAGCACCCTAACAAACTCATTATTTCAGTACTTGGTGTCATCACAAAAGTCTGTGGAATTTGATAGGAAATTAAAAAAAAAATAAAAATCCAATATATTGTGTCATAGATAATTTTTAATAGATTGAAAAGGTGATTTTCTGTAGAAAGGGCACGTAATATCATTTAGATCCTGTTCTCTGCATGCTTTAAGTACCTTATTCCAAAATCAGAGAAACAACATGTATAGAAATTTGTTTTCTACACAAAAGTGAAAATAACTTTTTACTCCATAGTTCTTAGACCCTGTTTCAAGGAGAAGCTTGAAGCATCAAAATAGTCCAGCTGACATTGACTATTTGTATTCTTAGGTTTTCACATATTGTGTCATAGATAATTTTTAGTAGATTGAAAAGGTGATTTTCAAGCATCAAAATAGTCCAGCTGACATTGACTATTTGTATTCTTAGGTTTTCACATGCTGTGTCACATGTTCCCTAATAAGGGTCTATGGAACCTCTGTACAGAAATGACTCGGAAAAAATACTTTTTGTTACTAATTTGTCTTTGTTTTCAAAACTTTGAAGTCTTCTTTCCTTAACACACAGAAATGCTCATTCCTGGCTTCTTCTTTGAACATTGAAAACTTATGTGTATCTTAAGTTTTTCTGCTTTCCAACTTACTTATTTAGGGCATTTATCCATCTTTAAGAAAATTAAAATCGCCTTCCATTTGTGTTCACCATGACCAAAACCACTTTCTAAAGTGTAATGCCACCATAAATTCAGTGTAATGAAAGTGGTGCAAAAAAGATGGACACTTTATTTTCCTTCATGCCTTTATTAGAGTCACTGCTCTAAGGTAACAAGTTGTGAAGTTTAGTTGACTTAGAATCAGTTTTCATTGTCCCCAATTGGTGCAGTAGATCACTAAATTTTTAGATTCAGAGTTTTAGCATTTCTGTTGCATCCTACATTTTCCATTTCTGATGCAATTTTCAATTAAATTGAATTTGGGGCTGTATTACTTCATGTTGATTTTTCTCATTTATCAGAAAAAATTTTGTCTTCTCACTTGGTTGTGTCCCATATGCTAGATACTCTAAAGTTATGCCTTCTCCTGCCTTGCTAGATGCTGTCATTGCACTAATTCCCTTGCTCATCCTCTCATGTCCTCTCCAACTGATAATTTAGCAGTTATATTTGAATTCACCTGTTCTCTGCTGATTTGATATCATGAACCTGGAGATGCCATTGCTGGTACTTCTCTACTGTGATTTATTCTGAGATTCCTTGTTTATGCATTGTTTTGACCAAGTTCACGTATGTTCTGTCTTACTATGTCATTGAACACTGAAATATGGGTGAGGGGGAAAGTACCTGTACAGCTACTGTATGGAAAGCTTTTTAGCAAATAATTAAGTGTCAGAAAGTTAATCTATTTCAAAGTTAGGAATCCCTGGAAATTATATGTTATTGATGTTCCAATAGAAGGCCTGGTTTTTGAATGTCTTGTTTCTTTACATGTAAATTGACAATGAAAGATAAAATGTTTTCATAATGTTTTGTATAGCCCTTTTTTATTGAATCCTTTCATTAAGGAACACAAAACTGTTAATTAACTACAGAAGGGGTATTTTAGTGACTTGGTGATCATGAACTGGAGCAAACTCTGTGAAGTGCCTTCTGTGCATTTCACTTCTATAAACAAAGCTTGTTTACTCAAGTATATCATCTCAGTTTATATGGGCATAACAAAGATGTCAAGATTTACTGTAAAACATCCAAGAAAAAATACTGAGGCAACATGTTAGAATTTGCTACAGTGATGTCATGGCAGTGTGTTCCAGAGTGCGCAGTTGGAGGAACAGTGGCAACATATTTGCCCACCTCCGCTTAGTAAGTGGTACCCATGTAGATGTGTATTTAATGTCACTGGCCGAAGTACATGTAGACAGCAGTAAAACAACAGTAAAAAGGAACAAAACATAAGAATTACTGCATGCTTCTCAACAGGTGTGGTGCAGCGTATTGCCCTCATGGTACAGTTAATGCTCATGAATTTTGAGGCAGGGGGAACTGAAACGAGTTTGCATAACCGGAACTTCAGAGAATTCTGCCAGATTGCAAAAGCAAAGATGTAGCAAAGGAGATAAATTTGCTCTTAATAGCATATACGTATTCTGCTGATCAGATCTAGGCTGCTATTATAGTTCTCTGATTTCATCTAGATGGCAGGAACATCAAATTTACACTGGAGAACTGCTTAATACCTCATTCTTCAATTTTTTATTATTTTCTCTAATATCACTTACTTTATTTTTCACTCATATTTCAAAGATATCTGTGCAGTCTTTACATATAAAGGTCTCACTTTATTCCTTGTCTGCTGGATTTCACAGACAGAATGAAAAAGAACATCTCTAATTACAGCAGCTACAATGGCTCTTTGAATTACATAGCTGCAGCTTCCTTTGGAGAAGATGCATGTATGTTTTTTGAAGAACAAGGCAACATAATTTTTCTGGGAGATTTTTTTTTTTTTTAAGAAAAAGATAAAAGTAAATGTTACAAAAACCTCCATTGCTAACAGCAGGCAGAATCATTTTTTACTCTGTTATTTGATCTTGGTAAAGCTGACCAACTCCATGCTACAGCTAATCCTTTTTCATTTTCGGCTGCAATGAGGAATATTGACCTTCATGTGTGTACTATCCAACACCATAGGAAAACATTGGAAGGCCTTGACATTTGATCTTTTTGCTTCAATATGTAAAAAACACTCTGTACGTTTTTGAAGCGTTGTTTCTTTAATTAAGTTGGTTGTGTTTGAAAACATTCCATTTACTACTATGTAAAATTGCAGATCTGAAGTTCGCTTTTCATGCTGCTACCTTGGCAAAAAGGTGGTAGGATTTTTTGTTCTTCTACTCCGCATGTGCTTCTGGAAATCCAAATAATTTTTGTCTTTGTCATGAGAAAAAGAAAAGAAGCCTGCTGCAGTCTGCTTTGGTTTTAATAAAGTGTACACAGTAGCAAAGTGCATTTCTGGTTTTGTTTGTTTTGATGCTCCCTTTGATGTTGGCATATGTATATATTTAGATATACTGCACTGTTGTACAAGAATTGTTTTAGTAAATAACACTTTGTAAAAACTGTTAATTGTTTTTGGTATGAATGTAAAATATTAAAGTTGGAGTATTTAGTTGATTATGTTGCAAAGTCAATTTATAAATTTTATGGAAGAAAAATCTCAAAAGGACTTCCTTTGCTGGAAGGACTTCGAGATGCAATAGGCAAAGTCTGTTAGAAGTACTTAACTCAAATTTTCTGATTTAAGGTGGGGTGGAGGTGGGTTTTTGGTTATTCTGGGAGGTTTTTTTGGTCGTGTGGTTTTTT